GTGCTGCTGGAGGCGATGCTGGAGGCAGGCGTCGCCGCGCGGAGGCTCAAGCTGCACCACAACCGCCTCAGCAGCAGCCAGGGGGTGGCGGAATTCTTGAAGGACCGCGGCGCCCATCGGCTCCGTTCGGCGTAACCCCAGCGTACCAAAACTGTGTGTGCGTCGTTCCCCTCCCCTCTCCCTCCCCTTCTGAGATGGAGGGCTGGACGGAGGAGGGGATGAGGAGGGGAGGAGGGGTGCCCCCACCTCAGACCTCGTGCCAGATCCCCCTCCCCTCCCCTCCTGCTCGTGCCCTGCTCCACTCCTCTCCGCTGCTCCTGCATACCCCCCCAGGGCAGACGCGCGCGTGCTCAGGAAGTCTCGCAGTGTGGGCTCCGTGGCGGGCGCCTTGTCTGGCCATACCCGCCCGGGAGACGATCTGCTACAATGAAGGGGCCCTGGGACACACAAATAAATACACACAAATAAAAGGATTCCCTATATTTTCCAATATTTTCTGGGTTTTTGTCTTCCCCCCTACTTCCCATATTTTCCTATATTTTCTTGGGAGTGGACGATTAATTGTGTCTGTGTGTTTTTTCCCCTCCTGATACAAAATGTTTGTATCGTGTGTCCGGTTCTGGCGCACGCCTCCAAGGCGGACACATAGCACTAGTATGTCCTTCTGCGTCCCATCCTCAGGGGCAGCGATCGGGGGGGATAGGCATAGGGGGAGATGCATCGACCCCCGATCGCCCATTGATCGCCGATAGGGGCCGATAAGCCCCAACCTGCCCAGGAAGGTGCGGATTCACTATCGGAGGCCTATCGCCGATCTATCGGCGATGTATCGCCGATTCCAGGTCGATGCATCCCCCCTATGCCAGTCCCCCCCTATCGTTGCCCCTCACATCCGTGGCCGATCCAGACCTCTGGCGACATGGGGCTCTCAGCCGGTGGATGGCCAGCCAAGACAACGGCGGCCTTCCATGGCTTTTTTTACACCTCCTCTCTCGGCCTCCTGGAGGCTTCTCGTCGATAGGACTGGATCCGCCTCGGCAAACGGGTCAGGATGGACTCCGGGATGAGCCCGTCGTCGTCGTCGTCGTCGTCGTCGTCGGCCTGGTCTGTCTTGGAGGCCGTGCGCTGCGCTGCCGTGCGCGTCTGCGAACCGCTGCCCTCGCTTTCGCCCCGCCCTCGCCCTCGCCTCTGGCCCGCCTCAGGCTTCTTCAGCAGGTGCTGCGCGTGACAGCCGAAGCTGGCATCCGCGCTGCCCAGTTTCCCTCCCCTCCTCCCCCTCCTCCTCCTCCTCCTCCTCCTCCTCCTCCTCCTCCTCCCCTTCCTCCTCCCCTTCCTCCTCCCTCATCCTGAGGCCGTTCTGGCATCGATCCCGTGACGCATGAATTTGCTTCGCGACCCGAATCCAAAGGTTTTGTGTTGAGCGTGGCTGGCATTGGGGGGTTGCGTGCGCTCGGCGGCTGGACTGTGGAGGCATGCGGTGATTGGCAAGTTCCCTGTCCCTCCCTTCCCCCAATCTCCAACTTATTCCATGTGTGTATGCATGTATGATATGTATGTATGTAATGTATGCAGGTATGTATATATGCATGTTTTTGTTTGTTTGTATGTATGTATGTATGCATGTATACATTTTTATGTCTGTAGCTGGGAGAATATGGTGTTATTGTATGATCTAAGTGCTTCTCTTGCATGTTTGCATCCATGTACGCTTGCAATTTCTGTATGCCGTGTATGGGTTTATGTATGTATGCATGCACGTATGCGTGCATACATGCATGTATGCATGCATGTATGTATGTTTGTCATGTATGTATGTGTGTCTGTCTGTCTGTCCCTCTGTCTGTCTGTATGTATGTATGTATGTGTCTGCATGTATGTAATGTGATGTATGCATGTATGTATGTTTTTTTTCGAAATATGTGTATGTGATGCATGCATGCATGTATGCATACATATATGTATGTATGTGTGGTATGTGTGAACTGTATGCGTGCATACATGTGTGTCTGCGTGTATGTATGTATATATATATATGTATATATATAATACAGCACGCATGTATGTATATCTATGGTGTGCAACGTATCTATGTAATGTATGCATGGGTTTGTGTATGTATGTTTGCAGCGCATAAATGTAATGTATGGATGCATGCATGTGTGTCTTTATGAATGTATGTATGTAGGTAGGCATGTATGTATGCGCTGTATGCTTGTTTGCATGTTTTGTTTAATGTGTATGTGTATATGTATGCATGCCTACTTTTATTATACATGCCATCAATGTATGTATGTATACATGCATTTATGTATGTTTTTTTCACACGGTTGCGGTAACGTATGTATGTATGGGTGCATGTAGCGTATGTATGTATGTAATATGTGTCATGTGTGTGTACATGCATATATGTCTGTAAGGTATCTTTCTATAACGTATGCATGTATCCATCCATTGCATGTATGTAATGTATGTGTGCGTGTATGTAGGTATGTAATGATGTACGTATGCATATATGTATGTGTGGATGCAGCTCTGGTTGTATGTATGGATATACGCATGTATGTTTGTTTGCAATCTATTTATGTAATGCATGCACGTACGTATGTATGTCTCCTGGTATGTCAGCAGGTATGTATGCAACGTGTGCATGCATGTATGTAAATGTGCCTGCGTGCACTTCTGTGTGTAGTGTGTATGTATGCCTGCATGCAACTGTACGCGTACTGTATTTACGCATGCATGTGTATGCACGGTGCATATGTAATGAATGTATGTATTGATGTACTATATGCATTTATGTTTGTGTGCATATACGTATGATTGCATGCATATGTGTACGTGTATAACAGTTGCAGATCTGTATCATGTTTGTGTGTGTATGTTTGTATGCGTCTTGTGCATGGATGTATGTATGTTTGCGTGTGTGCATGTATGTATGCAGTGTATGTGTGCAGATCACATATGAAGAATTATGCATGTGTGCCTTTGTGTAAGTATGGATGTATGCATGTATATAAGCATGCATATCTGTGTAAAATGTATGCTTTTAATATGCCTGTAGCATGCTTGCGTGCATGTATGTATGTGTGTATGGTAGTAAGAATGCATGCGTGTATGTATGTATTTGTTGTATGTGTGTACGTACTGCTGTGGGTATGTATGCATGTAAGTGTGTATGTCTGTATGTATGGATGTATGTGTGCCGTGTGCAACCTATGCGTGTAATGTATGCGCACATGTAAGTTTGTATGTATGTATGTGTGCAATGTATGTATGCGTTGTATGTATTTATGTGTGCATGTGTGTTTGTATGTATGCATGCATGTCTTCATGTATGTTTGTAGGTGTGCAATGTATGAATATGGTGTATGCATGTACGTGTGTGTACGTATATATGTATGTATGAATGTATGTTTGCATGCACATGCGTAATATATGTATGCATGTATGTGTGCATGTGTGTATGCTTGTATGTATGGGTGTATGTTTGCATGTAGTAATGCATATACGTATGCATGTAAGTATGGATGCGGTGTGTATATATAGTGTATGCATGTATGCACAGATGCATGTATGTATGCGTGCATGCAATGTATGTTTGTAAGTTTCGTATGTTTGTATGTGTGTATGCGTGTATGTCTGTATGTATGAGTGCAACTTATGTACATAATGTATGCATGACTGCACATACTCATGTATGTGTGTATGTATGTATGTATGTATGCAATGGATGTATACATGCATGTATGTGTGTGTATTTGTGTATGTATGCGCGCAGTGCATGCGTGCAATGTATTTATGTACGTATATACGTATGTATACGTGTATAATGCATGTATTTGTGTAGGCAGTATATGTATGTAGTGGATGCATGTATGCATGTATGTCTGCATGTTTGTTTGTATGTGTGCAATGTATGTATGCGTGCGTGCATGTATGTCTGCATTTGTGTCTGTGCGTATGTATGTATGCCTGCGTGCATGTATGTACAGATTCATGTATGTACGTACGCATGCATTGCATGGACGGAATGTATGCATGTATTTTCGTATGCATGCATGTATGTATGTGTGCAACGTATGCAGGCATATATGTATGCATGTATGCACTGCATGTACGTAATGTATGCATACATGCATGTATTTGTTGCATGTCTGCATGCAGCGTTTAGGTATGTATATGAATAAGTATGTATGTGTGTGCGTGTGCTGGTGTATGTATGCACGTATGTGTGCAATATCTGTTTGTAACGCATGTATGTACGTTTTTTTTGTATGCCTATCTGCCTGCCTGTATGCATGGATGTAAGTGTGTGTATGTATGTATAGCTTGTATATACAGTATGTATGTATGTATGTATGTATGTATGTATGTATGTATGTATGTATGTATGTATGATGTATGTATGTATGTATGTATGTATACATGTATGTGTATCTACATACAATTCATCACCCACATTTACCTGTGTGTATATATACATGTGTATGCGCGGCTCTTTTCTTTCAGTACGTGACCCCATGATTTCTTGACACCTTCCCGAGGGCCAGCTTTTTATCCTGAGCCATCCCTTCATGGGCCCGGGGCCCAGCGAGGGTCACCAGAGGCAGACATTTGCCAAACATGTTCCGTCGTTATTTGTTCAGAACGCAGGGGGTATGGTTTGGGACCTTAGAATCGACCCTGGGATCCCTTCCAAGGGTGCATTCCGACCAGAATGTCGCTGGAAATCCAGCCGTAGCGACGAGAACTCTCCCAGAGGCTTCGAAAACGTCAGAAACGTTCACGTTCGATTGGTGAGGCCTCGGAGTGCGCGCAGGCCCCCCTCCCCAGGTAGTCCCAGCTGACCTTAACAGGCCCCCCGGGTAGTCGGGGGCGGTCTCAACACTGTAGCCCTGGAGCGCAGAGCCTGGCGCCAGGCTGTTGAGACCACCCCGGACAACTCGGGGGCCCGTTGTGGCCAGCCGGGACTACCTGGCGGGGCAGTTTGTGCGAAGCCCGAGGCCTTACCGTGCTCGATTTTGTTGAAGAGGCTTACGCCATGTCACCGCACCGACCCCCGGAAGAGGCGTGGGGTCCACAGTTGAGGCGTCGTGGGCTTC